ATAATAGGGATTATATTAGGGTCCGCTTATATTCTTCTTATACCACTACTACAGGGTGGGGGGTCCTCCTAAGGTACTGCAGGAACCGGGTTGTACATGTTGGAATAAATTTGCGAAGAAGCCCTAAGCCCTAAACCCTAAACCTTAAACTTGAGACCTGCAGGGACAGCAAGGAGCTCCAGGCATCGGACACAGAGTGCACAGTGCCACGTGAGCCATCGTCTAAACTCCTAGTTTCCTTCTTAATAACCCCTATAGTAGTCCCTTATGTAATCCCCTATATAACCCCCTTTAAGGAGTTTAGACTATAGCTCACGTGGGCTGTTTGGTGCAAAGCCTGCCTTTCGAACGCTTCATTCAGGCATTTGCTGGCTCAGCCAGGCTGCAGGTTCCAGACAGGCCCAGGACTGGATTTGCCGTCCACATGAACATTGGGGTAATATTGGGAATGGAAAATAGAATGGAAACTACTAGAATAAAAAAGTGCATTGGGGTTACTGGGGTATGGAGCTAGGGTCAAGCCCTTTTTTGGGCAGGGTGTTGTTTATGCTGCGGTGATCAGGATGCCAGGAAAAACAAACAGGAACCTCAATGTATTGTAGTACATTATAGTATCTTCTAGCACATTGTAGTACATCATAGTACAAATAGTACATCATAGTACATCATAGTACATTATAGTACATTATAGTATAGTAAAACAAGGAGGAACCTCAAGTCAGACACGATGTGTCTAGAAGTCGAAGCTGCAAGCCGTCACAAACAACGACTTTGCTTCTTCTGTCTGTCGGGGTTATTGGGATAATGGAAAATTGGCAACTACTATAGTATATTGAATGGTAACTACAAGTACCATAGTATATTGGGGCTATATGGGGATTATTTTTTGTCTTTTGAGCAGGCTGATATCAGCAAGTTCCGCAAGGGCCCAGGGCTGGCACGGTGGGTTGATGGATGCTTGGCTTCCCTTCATGCGCCCTCCTGCTCCTGCTATTGGGACTCGTTGATCCAGAAAAACACATGCAAGCCATGCTTTGCAGAAGGTATTACCCACCCCTACTGTAGGCTCAACACTTCAGACCATGACTCGCCATTATGAAAGCCTAAATCGAAACCCTGCACATCCCTACGTAGCCCACGCCCATATCGGATAGTTTTGGGTGAGGGATCACATTCGTTTGCCGTTGCTTTGCAAGAATTCCACCAGCTGGCAGCTCTCAGCTGTCCTTGGACCGTTTTGTGGGCCACCAGACCTAGAATGCTGGGGGCTCCTACCTCTGCCCCGGCGACGAATCGCTTCATGAACACCGCTGGGCCAGCTCTTGCCGCTACGTCGGAATCCCGATAGCTGAATGCGAGCCTTCTGTGTTGATCTCTTTCCAAAATTTAGTCAAGAAGCGAACAAGTGTTTCTGATCATGCGTCACATCGTTGCCAAGCTAGATGTGCTTGCTTTCCTGAAGCTTTTTGACAAAGACCACGGGGAGGGCTGGAGGATGGCGATGCAAGGCAGGAAAGGGTGTGAGTAGGTGAGGGTGCAGAAGGTGTCAAGGCGCACGAGGGCCGTGGTGCATGCGGTGGCGACACACGAAGAGGAGAGGCAAGCAGGAAACCCTCTAACCCCTGAACCCTCCAGCAAAGCCTAAATGAAGCGGATTTTTTTTTGTATCCATATATAAACCCCTTACATAGTCCTTATATGGCTCTATAATATCCCTAAAATCCATATTGAATTCAAGCCACATGGCCGACATGCGTCAGCCTCTGGTCCAACCCTGAAACCCTATTCATTCACGAAGGTTGTTGAATTTAAAAAGCTGGAGGTGTTGTACGCTTTTCCTCTGGTAACAATGCTGAGGAAGTGTCAACATTTGATTTGCAGTTCATGAAAAGAGTGCACAGTGTGCAGGTAGCAAGGCCTTTGAAACTTTGGTTCTGGGTCAGGCACTTAAAAGTGGGGAGGAATGCCGGTGCTTTGCAGTAGAGCTACCCGGAGTTCTACAGTCTCTTTGTCGAGGGGCGTAATATAGTCTCCCAGTCATGGCTTCACAATTCTGGTTCCGGGCCAGGACCTCCAAGCTACAGACAACGCCCCGATTTCGCGGAAGGCGCATGGCAATCCATGGAAAGCCACGATTCAATCTCTCCGACTTTGCAAACGTACTGCTTGCTCGGGATGAGAGTGCTGGAGCAGGAGCTCGCTGCGCGCTGGCAGCGGTTTGGCCCAGCCCCCCGGCGGCAAGGACAAACAAGCCTGCGGTTGCGAGCACAGCGCTATTCAGCTAAGGCTAGCTGAAGTGACAACGTTGTCCATCGACACTGGTGACCTTGGTATCATCAAGGAGACATCTACTTGCGAGAGTTCTATTGTTGAAGGACGCCAACAAAATAATGTCAGTGCTGTTGCGGAATGCTAGGAATACGCGGAGACTGGTTTGATCACCGATGCCACAACGCCAAGATCCTGGAAACTGCTTGGAGGTGGATTGCCCCAAAGCAAGCTTGCTACTTCCGCTTAGGAACCCCTTGTTCGTTAGCCAAGCCGGCCTGAGCGGAGATCCGGTTTGCGGCTGAGTAATCATGGGGATGGGGGGTTTCTGGGCTGGTGCGTCGCTGGCAGCATATCAGCAATATCTAGCAGCTTGCCTGGGAAGACCTACGTGGCCTTCGTGGAAGATGCGCCGGGCAGCTAGTACCCAGGAGAAGCGCAGCACAGAAAGATGTCCGTATGCGCGATGCCGTGCATCAAGGATCGAATACGCGCGTGGCAAAGGAGACGATACAGTGGCACTGGCAATGGACAAGCTGGCAGTGAATCTTGGAGTAGCAACCTGGCCCCATTAAGTGATACCAAGTCCGGTGGTTCTTAGATTGGATGACACTTGGTCTTGCAAAGCTTTGTCTAGCTGATGTAAGTTGGGTGGCGTCACTACACCTTCATCAGCCAAATGTATAACAGAAAGCAAGGAACGGGCCAGAGCCATACCCAGGAAGGGGCTTGTGCAAAGTGAAGCCATGCCGAAGATTCACACCAAGCAACGTTCCACGAGTGCGACTGCTAACGAGCTGTGAAATTCTACGCCAGTTCCATTATGTTTCCTTACATGCAGGAAACATAGGATTGAACGAAAACATATATGGCAATATCTGGATTATATTCCCTCACTCCCCACCAAGAATCAGTAAGCTTAGGGGCATAGCCCTTGGGGGGATCTTGTCCACCATCACAGAGGGCCAGAATCGGTATGCCTGGCAAGGAGCGTTGCTTGAACTTGATGGCCTTTTTTGGTAGCTCCTTATAGTAGTCCCTATTGTAGTTTCCATGTTCTGTTCCATTATTCCTATACAACCCCTATATAACCCATATACATTCCCTATATCGCCTCAAGATTAGAAGCCCGAAAGTCAAGCAAGGCAGCGCGGGCTCTGTTATGGGCAATTTCTGCCGCAGCAACGTCAGCAGCCTCATTGCTGACGTTTCTCCCAACAGCAACAACATCAAACTCTGGCCCGAAGCATGCCTGAACAATGCAAACTCACGCCTTCCACCTCGCAATTTCAACCACGGCCACAAAACAGGATGGCAAACTTACGAAGACCCCTGATGCATTGCTTTCACCAAACGGCCTTTTGGATCGTGGGCCTTCGACCTGGCAGCGAGATGCTGTTCGGCAAGGCATGCACCGCCCGATGTTTACCGAAGTGGCCGTTGGCATCACATTGCCGTTGATTCATCCCTGCTGACTGCAGCCTCATGCCGAGCATGCTATGTCGGGTAGACTTGCGGGTGTCTGTCTGATGTTTCAGATATGTGGCGTGTACCTGGTGCAGCTATCTCTGACGCGCTGTGGCGCATGGTGACTTCTCTCCACACCTGAAACGGCAGACTTGGTCCCTTTTCTTAGACTGTCCTTGCTGGCTTTTGCAAGACATGCCAAGGCAATCTCCAAGCTGGTTCCCGGCTACATATCCACCGAGGCACAAGTTGAAGTGGCATTTTGCTGAAGTCATTTGGGGATTTGTCAAAATTGGGGGTAATTACATTTTTGGGGGTCCCTATATAACAAGGATTTTAGTATTTTGGGGTCTACATTGGGGTCCCCCTAGTTTGGGAAGCTACCATTTGCACGGCCAAAGATGCTCTCCTTTATACCGTTTCCAGCTTTATCTATAACTGTGGTCCTTATGTAGGGACATGTTGATAAGCCAGTAGAGCACTCAATTCAAAGCCTAGCCCGAACTGCCAGGTGGACCCTCGCTTGAGCTTTGACAAGGCTGGCTGCTTCAGTTGGTCAAAGTGTCCCTCTCCTGACCCATCCAAACACAAGAACCCTTATTATCAGGGCCGCTGAAACCCCCAAACACCACTTCTCATTATATAGAACCCTTGGAAACCGTAAGCTGCGGTTAGCATCAGGAAGAGACTCTCCGGCGTGCCCGTCGCATCATAGCCCCGGCCCAGGAATCAGCAGGATTGGCAGTCTGTAAGTGGGGGTTTCCCTAAATTAAAGGTATTTTTTTGTGGTCCGCATAATAAGTGGTGCAGGTTTTGTTGCAAAGGAGTGGCTGGGTCCTGGGGTGGCTCTGGTCCCTTGGTCCTGTGGTCCTCTGGTACCGTGGTCCTCTCCGGTGGTCCTGTGGTCCCCCGGTCCCTAGCCAAGTGGACGCGACACGAGGGTTCTAGGCTGATGGTTGAGTTGCGAGGAGGCGAGGGTGTGCTACTGTAAGGGCTCAAGCAGTTACCAATCTCAATTCGAGGTCTATAACTATATTGAGGTGCCTTATATCATAATTATGCAAGGGGCAGCGGATAGGGCCCTACATGTCACACAAGTTTGCAAGATGATTTTTCGGGACGCAGTAGGACTCCAAGCGTTCATTGTGCTGCCACATCAAACAGTCCGCCTGAGTCGATAGGCAAAAAACCCGACAGGCGCCCTAAAGCCTGGAAGTGTACCAAAACTGAACCCTTGCCAATCTCTTCAACCTGCTGAAGGGCATCTTCGACCGCCAGCGAAGCCGAGGCTCGGCCCGAAGACCTTCAAAATTATATGGCTCATGTATAGGGTTATAGGTTATAGGGGCTTGCCCCCAACAAAGGTGTTTGAGGTTCAAGTGGAGGCTTTTATTTTGGTTTTTGGTGTTCGTATATAGTAGGTGTTTTAGCTGGGAGGATCTCAAAATAAAATCTTAACATATGTAGGAATCAGGGAAAGAGGCTGTCTTCAGATCTTGTTCGTGCCAGGCTGCGGTTACGCCAACCGCAGCATCGAGCCTGGCAACTTTGCTGAGCACACGCTGAAGTTCATCACAGAGCTGAGCAACGGCCGCCTGGAGATGTGGAGATGGCCTGACGGGTCAGCTGCTCGAGCCGCTACCGCTGGCCTCACTTCACCCGTCAACTATGGCCAAGGCCACTGGGATCCCCTGGGCATGATGGCTTTCGAGGGTGAAAAGGGGTTCGCCCACAACCTCACAACTGGAGACGGTTTTCAGCTTCCTCCGAATGGACTTACCCGTTTGATCTTGTTCCCAGTCTCGCTTGGTATCTCAGAAATCTTAAATGGCCCAGCAACGCGTCCGAAGATGCGATCAGTTTTCTTGAAGTCGCTCTTGGTTTTCAGGCCGCAAGGCACGTTTATCTCCACGAGAGTGGGGAAGACATAAGCATCGTGGATGCTGAGAGGCAGGCCAGACTTTTCAGTTCGGCCAGTAAAAGGGTTGGGCAGATCGGCAATTCTGCTGTTTTTCGTGGCGTGGACAAAGCCAGGAGAAAGGACACATTTACTGTCAGCATTCTAACGTCTCTCGGGCTTGCTTGCAAAGGCAGGAGGCCTTCTACGGCGTCCAGTACTCATGGTGCCAGCCGTCGTACACAAGCTTTTATTTGAAGCTGCAGCGGAGACATCTCTAACGCGTGCAAATCAAAAAAGATGTTTTTTTTGACTGATTTCACTAGTCTCCCCAAAGCCCTTTACACCCCTTTTGCCAGGCCGAGAATTATAGGTAAGAAAAATACTTCGAGTCAGGCGCTTGCGGCCACTAAAAAGCGCCGTGCGAAGTCCCCCAAGGTCTTAGCTCATCTTGCAGTCTGGTCGGCTGAAGAGTTGCAGGAGATAGAGAGTGCCCGCGACGGGCGCCACAAAACAAGATTTGAGAAACGTGTTCCTCACAACCGCACTTGTGCAGAAACAGGACAACGCAAACTTTTTTTTTGCGATGTCGATTTCTAACCTTGCCAGATTTAGTAAAGAGAAATGTGAGGGCGAGATTGATCGTTCAGTTGTGACAGGTCCACGACGGAGTTGCAGGGTTGCCACTTGCGCTCAATGGGCTGAAGTTGCTGTAACACCGCTGATGATCCTCTTAAATGCACAAGACAGGGCTGCGGAGCGCAGTGCCCAGAGGGCTGGCGCAGGTTTGGCTTGTTCTCGAAATGGCAGTGCTTTGCAACATGAATTTGGATTTGCGTGCTAGCAGTAGGCAACTTTTGTGCATCATCCAATTTTCCGACACGAAGCCCTATGTAGGGTTCTTTTGATAGGGCTTAGTCTCTGTGTTGTGCCCCGGCCAGTAGTGGCACTTCTTGTCCAATGATGCTTGCTGTGCGTCCAGTCCCGATGCCTCACGCTCAGCCCTCCAATTCTTTGGGTAGGGCTTCGGCCCTGGCTTCAGCTAGTCAGTCCGTGCCTGCTGTCACGCGATTGGATCTTTGAAAACCTTTTTGACTGCTTCCTTTCTTGGGAGTTCTCCTCCAGTCCTTTGCCTGGAGCGCCTTTTTTTCTAGGGTTGACGCCCGTTCCTTCACCCCCTTGACCTCTGTGCTCTCACAGCACGGCAACTTGATTGCCAAACTTCTGGTTCTCGCAGCCACGCAATTTTGTTTGTCGAAGACCTTGTGCCCCGTACTTGGGTGCAGGGTCCCACATCGGATGTGGATGAAGACGAAGATTGACCGTACCCGCATGGTTGCAGCTTTCGGAAGCATCTGAGACCTCCTCAGTGGGCTTGGAGGTTTCCCGTTGCCTTCCGTGACCCTCAAGTTCACGCACATGGCCGTCATCATTGAAGCGGCCCACGAGATCCCAACCCGCAGCTGGTTGCAGATCCTCGCCGTGGCTGGTGCCATCGAGGCCGAGGAGACGGCGGTGCGAGGCCTTGGGGGCTCTCGCCTGGTGCATCAGCTAACCTCATCTGAGAATCTGGGCCCTGCATGGGTATAACTTCCCTTGATCCAGTAATAAGATCAGCAATGCAACCTCGATTTAAATAACTCTTGGCAGTGCCCCCTAGAGTGTTTTTTTTGGGGGATATCAAGGCTTCTGGTAGAGTATAAGCCAAGGCATACGTTGTCCTTTCCTTGCAGCATTATCTCACAAAAGTCGTGTGTGATGCTTTGAATAAGGTGCACCCATTCGTTATAGATGTCGTGGAGAACGATGTGGGGTTTTCTGTGCTGGGAGTTGCTGTTCATGCTGCGCCACCGCATTCAACGCTACTCGTATGGCCCAGAGTGGATCAAGGTCCGCCGAGAATGCTGAGATAACGCATAAGGCATAAGGCCCTCATCATGTATCATCCTGTGGGCGCCCGCGTCTAGACAGAAGGGGCTGAGTCCAACAGGGGTAGGTTTGAAGATCGTTTCTAATGCTCATTTCTCTTCATCCATATTGGAATCATACACATTTAAGTAATTGTCAGAAGGCCCTCAAACTTAATCCTGCCTTTTGAAATCCTGTAGTTTGCAGCATTTGACGTGTTCCCAGACCAGCAAACGCTGCATTTTACAGCGTTTGAAACGTTCCAAGACCAGGAAACGCTGTAATTTACAGCATTCGAGACGTGCCAAGATGCTGTATACAATTTAACGGCTCTGGTCATTTGGTCCTCTGGCCCCATGGTCCTCTGGCTTCCTGGTTCTGTGGTCCTCTGGTTCTCTGTGGTCCTCTGGTCCCCTGGTCTGGTAATCCTGTGGTCCCCTGGTCTCTGATCCCGTGATCCCCATCATCAGGTCATCATGCATGTGCTAAGCATCAAAAACCATGCGCACAAAAATATTCAGCACAATTGTCCCTTGCCCCAAAGATTGTGATGACATCAGGCTTCTGTTTATTGCAAGCATGGATGCCTTTAAAACAGCGGGGGGGTTGGGGGGGGCGCAGCCAATGTACTGAAAGAATGGCTTAGGAACTACAACTAGGGAAAAAATGATAAAGACTGGGGCCAATTCCTCCCACGAGAGGTTGATACCCCAATCCGACACCCAAATACTGCCGGGACTACTGGGGATGGAGGAAATCTTGCGCCATCTTGTATACCAGAAATTCGAGATTTCTAAGTGATGCACTTTTTGGAACATAACACCAAAGAACCACAGGACCCGAGGACCGCAGGACCGCGGGAGCAGAGAACCGCCGGCGAAGAGGACACCGTGACCAGAGGACCACAGGACCATAAAACCAGAGGACCGGAATTGTCTAGGACCTGCGAGCAGGCGTTTGGATCTCGCCCCCCTCCCCCCTCCTTTCCCCCCCCCACCACGCTGTTTTAAAACGGTCCATGCTTCCAATGAATGCCATCACCATGTTTGCAGTAAGGGAAAGCTGTCCGGATCATTTTGTTTGCAAATGGGGGGTCTGTGCCCCCCAACCCCCTGCTGTTTTAAAACAATCCGTGCTTCCAAAATAAGAAAGGAAGAATCATGCCATCACCATGTTCGCAGTGGGGAAAGTTGTGCGGATCATGTCGTTCGCGCCTGATATTTCCAGAATACATTTTAAACCATGTTCTCAGTCTAAGCCGGGAGTGGAACAACTTCTACATTGTCTTCAATAATGTGGTGATCCCTTTTCAGCTCCATCCTTCCGTACCAAACAGCATGTAAGCTAGAAACACCAAGCTCGCACTTGAGTGTTTTCCGTACCCCCAATTCCAAAAGCCCACTCCTTTCCGAGGGACGTAGTTGAAGGAGTGGAAGGTTGCAAGACCAGCATATGCTGTTGAATACAGCACGTAAAACATCCCAAACGCGGTCATTTACAGCGTTTGACCAGCAAATACTGCAAGTTATATCGTTTGGAAGCTTTCCAAGATCGACAACCGTTGTAATTCGCAGAGTTTGAAGCGTTTCAAGGCCAGCAAATGAGCAAACGCTATAATACATAGCGTGTGAGGCGTTCCAAAACCAGCAGATACTGTAATTGCTGTGACTGACAGCATTTGTGACGTTCCAAGACCAGCAAATGTTGGACTGTAATTTACAGCATTTGAAGTGTTTCAAGACCAGCAGATGTTGTATTTTTCAGCATTTGAAGCGTTCCAAGACCAGCAAGTGCTGTAATTCACAATATTTGAAGGGTTCCAAAACCAGGCACTGCTGTAATTTGCGACGTCTGAGACGTTCCAAGACCAGTAAAATGCTGTAATTTACAGCGGTTGAAGTCTTCCAAGAACAAAACGGAGCGAGCCACGCGTTTGCAAAAAAAAGAGCCCGAGCCAAACCTCCGCCCACAATAAGGATGGGGGGGTCTACATTGGGGGTTCCCTGTTCATGGAAGTTACCAAGTCTCCACGGAGCAGTTTTTTGGCCTACGTCATCAGTGAAGATACCTAGGCCTTGTATGAGGAGGCAGGCGTTTCACGAGACAGAGTCGGTGTCTTACATCCAGCCTGACTTGCGCATAGGTAGGCAGTCTGCGGTCAAGGTACTCATCAAGCTAGCGGCCACTTGGGAGGGCATTGCAGCGATGGCTGAGCTCGAAAAGGAGGCTTGGATCCAGCATGTTTTAGTACACGTCATCTTGCAAAGGGATATGAAATCTCCCGGTCAAGGGCATCACCTGCAACATGACTCTGGTTTTTGGTTTTGTTCCTGCCTCAGCAACGGTAAGAACAAACTCATGGCATCTATTTCAACTCAGAATGACCTGAGGTGCAGGCAGTTGCAGCTGCGCAGCACTTGCCTTACCGGCTTTATTCGGCTGCTCTTACCCTCATCTCGTTCTTTCAGACGGATCTGGGGCTTCTCAAAGTAGGTGGCCTTCAGGGACGCCAGGCATAAATGGATTATGTTGAGAAATGTTTATATATAATCCTATTATTACTCTGTTTGCTCTTAGTATTACTAGTAATTATAACCATTTTCATCTTCATATTAGAACTGCTAGTAACACTACTATGACCACATGGTTTCATCTGTGCTTAAACCCCAAACCCTAAAGAAACTAAGCCCTAAACCCGAACTGACTACATAGTTTTTTCATCTGTCCCTAGGTACGGTGCCAGGCTGATTTCTCCATTCCCTGGCCGGGTGCTAGATTGGCACAAGCGGGAATCGGGCCTTGGGCTGAGTCGCAGCCGTGCCGTTCGGCCGCCTACCTACTGGGTTGCTGTTAAGGAACCTGAAAATCAAGTTTAAGAAAACCTTAGTATTTACTATACCAATATTTTGCCATATTGTGGTAGCATATTTTAAGTTCCTTAACAGCAAACTAGCCTACGGAAGATACCAAGGCAAGGACATATGGGATCCGGAGGAGGCCTGCCATACTGGTTTAGGGTTGCAAGGGTGTAGGGTCCAGCTATTGATAATCCTGCATGACCTTAATATACTGTAGCATCATACTTCCGAGGGTACAAGGTAGTCAGGGCCATGCAGGATTCGCAGTATCCACCGCATCACAGCGCATCACCTGCTCCATGCGAATTACTGGCAGCTAGTGTGCGATCAGAGGCTGCTCCACACATGGTTCTGTTGACAGCGCAATTAGCGCGCCAGGACCCTGGCGTCGTTGCCGTCAAGAGGATGTGACCTTTGGACGTCAGCATTGGTTTACGCCTTTGCTGCGAACTGCTTTAATTGTTGGATGTGGTTTGGCTTCAGCGGGAAGGCAAGTTAAACCATGGAGACGATCTTGATAGAAACCACTTCTACCATATGGCGCTGTTATAGCAGACAAACCTGCCAGAAGAGATTCATTCGTGGCCTGGACATGTTTTTGCAAGCTCAGCAGACCAGCGCAACCAGCTGGTAGCAGTAGCAGCAACAGTGCTACTAGTAGTAGTAGTAGTAGTATGAGCAGTAGTAGCATTACTAGCACCAGTAGCAGCCTGTCGACGGGAGTCACGTTTAGCAGAATCAACGAGTGTCTGCTCAACCTGGCGGAATGACTCGCAACTTGGCCGCGCTGGTCTCCAAGTCTAGGTTGTTGAGTGGAGTGGATTCTGTCTTTTGATATGCGTTAACATGATGTAACAAGAAGGTAGCCATCCCCCTGTGCTGTCAACAATGTCGCTCAGGCCGCAGTTTTGCAGAGGCTGCATGTTAAAGGAGGCTCATCAGAAATTAGTGTGATCCTTTTTGCACGAGGTGAGATGTAACAATATAGTGGAGATATGGAGACAGTGACGGATCTGTGGAGAGCGAATCCTCCGTGGTCTTTTGAAAGTCTCGTGTTTAGGAGGCTTGGCCTGGTCTGGAATGAATGAGTGGTGAACCATTCTCACAGCCGTTCCAGGGGGCAAGTGCAAGATATTCGGACAAGCCCTACTATATATCCCCAATATATACACCCTGTTATACTACAGTAGTTTCCATTTTCTTTTTCTTTTCCCTATATAGCCAATTATTCACCCTAATATACCAAAAGCTTTGAAACTGCCCTATCCATTTTATTTCCATTATCCCAATATAGCCCAACGTTACCCAAAAAACCTTAAACCCTAAACCCTACACTCTAAACCCCTAAACCCTAAACCCTACACTCTAAACCCTAAACCCCCGCGAGTGCCGTTGAGGCCATGGGGGCACTCCGCGTTATGCGCTGCCACTACTGATCGCAGCCGCTTGGACGGCAACGCACGTTTGTTGAACATGCCTGATCATTGCAATGCCCAAGGCCGCTCACAGCTTACATCATGGATGGTCGGCGAGCTTTGTTGGCCTGGCATCTATGCCAAAGCGGTGCTTTCAACATGTTCGCACACTGGGCGAGGCATCTGCCACAATTACATGTGCGTGCGTACATACGGTCCCGCCCTGCCAGGGGAAAACGCAACTTGCAGCGACGGGCTCTGGGCAGAGGGTGGCCTATGCCGCTGTGGTCCAGGCTCGGCGCCCCACCACCTGAACAGGGCCAATTGTGCACGTTTGTGCGTGTTCGCACTGCAGGTGCAGGTCAAGGAAGGTCAAGAGGATGCATTCCTGGAGGCCTTCCTTGTGAATTGTGCAACCCAAAAGCAGCACACTGCAAGAGCAGCAAGAGGGGCATCTGAAGGCTTCACTGCAGAACGCTCGAAGTTCCAAGGGTGAACCTCTGAATCAGCGATTCGATGTTCTTCAACAACGTGTCTCGGTGCCCAAGCCGTACAAACGTGAAGGTCATTTTATGCTTTATGGCAGATCTGATGCATTCGGCCTGCTTCTGATGTTGCTAAGGAGATTCTCCTAGCAACTTCGCTCTAGTTGAGATCTACAGGACCACCGCAAGTGCATGGTGCAAGCGATACGTATTTCATTTTCTAGAGATTTGGGACTAGTCCAGGAATGCTGACGGCCCGACGGGCCACAAGGAAACCCCGCACTACAACGCATGGCGCGAGCAAGTCGCAGACATGATGGCAACGCCGAGGACGCCCTGCCTGGGCCTGTCGGGTTACGTACGGTTGAAGATGTGCTGCTGCAGGACTGCGGTGCAGTATGACACCGTGTTTCCTGGTAAGGCCATGCTTGTAAGAGCTTGTTGCCTGGCATTGCTGCAGCTTCCTCACCTGGTGCTCCTCAACATAGCTTGGGCTTCGTATCGAGAGTACGGATTTTGGGAGTCGCCTGGTTCCTTGTGTTGTTGGCCGAGTCACAGCAGCTTTCCGGTCCTTGTGTCTTTTCACTCTCTGCTCCCCATGCACGCTACATGATTGCCATGTGCACTATTCTTGCGGTCCCAAGACTTCGCCACAGTCCGTTTTCCGTTCATCATGTCCCTGAAGTCTTCCAGACTCTCGCATGCCTCGATGGCAAGATTTGCGATCCTCCGACCGTCGTAGCTTTCCGGGGCCAAATTCTTGGAGGGCTGCTTATGGAGAGTCTGGGGGGACTTCTTGTCTGATTTTGAAGCTTGGGAGTTCTCTTGTTGGCACCGGGCGCGTGCTTGCGATGGAGGTCACGGACTACACGCCGGCCACGCTCATGCTTGAAAGATATCAGGCTGACAGAGAATTGGATTTCATGTGAGCTGTGCTTTTTGGTGTGAGCAGCTGCAGGGTGCAAAGGACGTGGACATCACACATGTCCTGGTGAAGGTGAAACCTGGAGCCGAGAAGGTACTTGTGAGCAATAGAGCCACTTCGACTCTCGCAACACCAAAGACAACCAAGGCGTTCAAGAAGGCTACCCGCGAAAACGCAATGGAGTCGGCAGGTCGCCCAGGAGGGCAAAGCATGTGAGTCGGCCTGCGTGCCACCAGCGTTGCACAGAATCCATCGGTTTTCGCCGGGAAGCAAGGTGAAGGAGTACGGCAATCTCCGGTTTGACGTGCTTCAAAGCGTGGACGATCCAACAAACTTCCTGCTGATCGAGGTGTACAGGCCAGAAGCCTTTTTGCTTTCATACCTACATTGGGCTTTTGGGATAATGGAAAATAAAATGGAAATGGAAAATCAAATGGAAACTTCTGTATAGTATATTGGGGTTATATAATATAACATGGATACTACTACAGTCAATGCCATCCCTAACCCCTCGACCAAGGACCGCAGCTGAGGCAGCCAAGCACAAGAAGACAAAGCATTACCTGGAGTGGAGGTCAGCCATGTTGGGATTGTTTCTGAGTTAAATCTAAAAATCAGAACCTGCAGAAGCCGCAGGTCCACAGTGGCATTCATGATGGAAGAGCCCCGACAGGGCATAAAGTATGTTCACAGCCTCAGATGCTTTGAGGAATAAGTCGACTTGTATGACGCTCTTTTGGTCACAGCCTCTTGATGCGTGCGTGCACTCCCATCATGGGGGGGATTGAAGTTCCACGAGACCAGCCTTGTATTCATAGCGTAGATAGCGCCTTCCGCGGACAACAACATCAGTTCACCTTGGTGAACAGCTAGAATGCAGATGCCTCTCCCAGGTTAGATTCTCGCAACTGCTTCGACATTACTCTCATGCCTTGGATCTATTTGCTGGTGACGCCGGTATGCCTGGAATTCATTCAACTTGCACTATTCTTCTACATGTGTCATGGCTGTGACAACCTGATTCTCCGTCTTGCTGGTTTGCCAACCCACAAGTTTTGCAATCGCTCCGTTCGCCAGTCGTCCAAGGGTGTGATGAGGTGTGAGAAGCTCCGACTTGTTGTGTCGCCCCATTAGTCCAAATTATGCTCCATTAGTCTGAGGGTCCAAGGTACCCCCCATCATTCCAAGTCCAGAAACGGAGGGTCGTGCCATGATTGCCACCATTGACCCTTATTATGCCTGCGCTTGTACACCTGGCAGGGAAAAGAAAGTATGTCGTCTGCACTCGAAGTAGTTGTCAGGATTGAGCCATGAACAGTGCTAAAAAAGACCACCCGAACCCTTCCTGAATGTGAACAATGTGTAGACCGTGGGACTAGCGATGCAACACCCCCGAAAACATGCCGTAGCAAACGAGACGCGGACCTACTACTGCTGCTACTACTACTACTACTACTACGACTACTACAACTACAACTACTACTACTACCACTACTATACTAGCCGCCCCCCCCCCTACCCACTATGTTTGCTTAAATTGCCAATA